CTCTGGGCTCCTCTGGGCATCCCCCCCGGGGCCCGTTTTGTGAGGATGTCTCAGGCGAGGGCGCCGGTTTGGGATTCGTCACCGGATCCAGCGGATCCAGCGGATCCGTCCGGAAACGGTGCCGGAGGCCGCTCTGGGCTCCTCTGGGCATCCCCCCCGGGGCCCGTTTTGTGAGGATGTCTCAGGCGAGGGCGCCGGTTTGGGATTCGTCACCGGATCCAGCGGATCCAGCGGATCCGTCCGGAAACGGTGCCGGAGGCCGCTCTGGGCTCCTCTGGGCATCCCCCCCGGGGCCCGTTTTGTGAGGATGTCTCAGGCGAGGGCGCCGGTTTGGGATTCGTCACCGGATCCAGCGGATCCGCGGAAACGGTGCCGGAGGCCGCTCTGGGCTCCTCTGGGCATCCCCCCCGGGGCCCGTTTTGTGAGGATGTCTCAGGCGAGGGCGCCGGTTTGGGATTCGTCACCGGATCCAGCGGATCCGTCCGGAAACGGTGCCGGAGGCCGCTCTGGGCTCCTCTGGGCATCCCCCCCGGGGCCCGTTTTGTGAGGATGTCTCAGGCGAGGGCGCCGGTTTGGGATTCGTCGCCGGATCCAGCGGATCCGTCCGGAAACGGTGCCAGAGGCCGCTCTGGGCTCGTGCTCTTCGCGCCGGGGGTGAGGATGACGTGAGTTCCACGGAAACTCCCTCAAACCAGCGGTCGCGACGGCCCAAGAGGTCACCAAAATGGGCTCCAGACGGCCTGAAGTTTCCAACGCACTCTAAATTTAAAGAATAGGCGTTTGCAATATTTAAGCTTAACTCTAATATCTTACACATAACATTTGCTTAACATTTAAGGTGGTGAAATCTGCAATTTAGCGCTAAATATAAAGCTATACTTACTGTTGCGAGCGCAACCATTTTGCGACAGCGGAGGTCGTTCCATTCTGGCCGCAACATGCCATGCAGCGCGTGCGCAAGAAATTTGGGCTGGGTTGCAACGACGTATGAGTGATGGGAAGGACGGCCTTGCACTGTCCCTGCGTGCGCAGCCGCAGCGGAGTTCCGCGGTGCGGATTGCATATGTCATGATTGTTCCTGTCATTTCATCGTCGCCAGGCGTCCCACGACCCACCCACACGCCGGCGACCCACACGCGACCCGCTCGCGGCCCGCCCGCCGCCCACCCGCCACCCGCTCGCCACCCGCCCGCAACCCTCCTACGACCCGCCCGCGACCCTCTGGCCACATCCCCGCGACCCGCGTACGATGCGACGCGCCGCGCGCGGCCGAACGGATTTGTTATTCCTCTCATAGATTTTGGCGCATGGCTTTTGCGAGTATGAAGATGAAGTGAGTGGGAAGGAAACTGAACCCGAGGACAATGCATGCGAACCAGCGGAACTGCTTGGCAGTCGGCGGTGAGAACGATTTTCCGATCAGGGCCATCATGCCCGTCTCCCCTTGACGACGGGCATGATAGTCTTGCCCTATGTGCAGCTCGAATCTAGAAGTCCTTTGCTCAACCCCGCCCTGGGCGAAAAGGTAATCCCATGGCCCAGATCGCCCCTAACATGCCCTTCGAAACGATCCCGAGATGGTCCCATGACGACCCCATGACCCCACATATGACCTCATGCCGACCGCAAGGTTTGAAGGCAACCCGAATGCCATCTCAAGATCACATGCCACGACCCCAGCAAGACCCAGAGACTACCAGAGGACGACCCACTGACGATCCCACGACGGCCCCTAGATGGCCCGATGACCCCATAGATGGCCCCGAAGTCTTAAGATGACCGCGAAACGACCGCGAGAAGAGCCAGAGACAACGCTTTTTGTGCGCACGTTGCGGCATATGTGTGCACGCATGGTTTCCCCTAGAGCGCTCCTGTGGTGCAATTGGCAGACGGGTGGCTCGAAAAACTTGCTAGGCAAGCCCCGTCCAGGAAACGATCCTAATTCTGCATGCCTGTTTTTGCTGCTTCCCTTGTCTCCCTCGTCGTCCTAACTTTCCCTCCTTGCGGCGAAACGGAGGAGGAGGAGGAGGAGGAGGAGGAGGAGGAGGAGGAGGAGGAGGAGGAGGAGGAGGCAGAGGGTAGCGTCGTCGCTCCCGCCGTTGCCGCTCCCGTCGTCTCTTCCCCTGCCTTCGCCGCCGCCGTTTCTGCCGCTACCGCCGCTGCCAGGGCTGTAAGTGCATCGGCCGCTGTTGCCGCTGCTGCCGTTGCGTTTGCCCCTGCTCTTGCCCCTGCCTCTGCTCCTGCAGTTGCTTCTGCTGCTGGGCTTTCGCTCTTCCGTTTTGTCCCCCTTTCCTTCCTCTCTTCTTGCGCTCCCCCTCCTCTCCCCCTTCAGCCCTCCCCCCTCCCCTCCTCCCCCTGCTGCTGCTGCGGGCCCCTTTCCCTCTGCCTCCCTCGCTCCCTTCGGTGCTGAGGTCGGTCCGTTTCACTTCCTTTTCCTCCTCCCCTCCCCTGCCTCCCCCCCTCCCGGGGTGGCGCAGGGCAGAGGCCGCGCCGCCCCCGCCATCCCCGTCGTGGTGCGCCTCCTCCAGACGAGCCTGGAGGCGGGGCCGCGGCGGCCCGGCCAGGGACTGACAGAGGGGGGAGAGAGAGAGAGAGAGAGAGAGAGAGAGAGAGAGAGAGAGAGAGAGAGAGAAGGCGGGGGAGAGGAGAGGGGAGGAGAGGGGGGGCGGGGGGAGAGGAGGGGAAGGGGCAAACGAGCGAGAGAAGAGGGGGGAGGAAAGCAACGATGGGGGAGGCGAGGCGAGGCGAAACGAGGATGCGGAAAAGGGAACAATGATATAAGAAACATATGGAACTTGCAATTTTCGCGCGATCGTGTAAATGCACGCGGTACCATTCGAAACAATTGCAGAACATTGGACAAACCCACTTGCGGGTCTGTCCAACATCAGCTTGGCAGGCCAGGGGATGATACGCAGTAGGGTTAATTCGTATCCTTCGCCATCTGGCTTCACTCGTCCCCTCGTCCTCCGCCTCGCCTCCGCCTCCTCTCCTCCTCAACAAAATCGTTGGCCGGTTTATCGGTGCAAGTTTAAGTGCTTCACCTTGGCCAGCCCCGCGGTACAAATTTAAGTGTTTCGCCTTGCCGTTTTGAACGCTGTTTCAATGGAGGTGCAGTCTTTCGGTGCCTAAAAAAAGGAAACATTTGCAGAACGTCCCACAACCGTATTGCAAGGACAAGAGGGGGGACCAAACAGACACAGACAAGGAAGGAGGCCCATAACCGCCAGAAAAGAGAAACCTGGTAACAACGATTTTCTCGCATATCGTTCCGCACCGAGTCGTTTTTCGCTGGCCCCAGGGCCCGAACAGCGATGATAACAAAATAGGATCGTTCAGACGCGCGGTTTGGCACAAACTGCATCCAACGAGAACGGTTTGAAAACATGTAGCCGAGAAAAAACAGCATTGCATGTCAGAGGGGAGGGCGGGAGGGGAGAGCGGGAGGAGACCACGGGTGGGGAAATATGGGGGTGGAGCACCATTGGCGGCAACTGCAAAAGCAGAAGGGTCAGCAGCAGTAGGGGTGATGGGGGAGGGGGGGCGAGGAGGAGTAGGAGGAGGAGGAGGAGGAGGAGGAGGAGGAGGAGCAATGGTATGTGTTTTTTTTTTTCTGCGAAGATACAGGTGTCTCGATTTATTGCTTCAGTTTACAAAGGAGGTCTCAATCGAGACGGGCAGAACTAGCAACGGGCATCGTGCCCAAGCAGCGGGCATTAATTAGAGCGCCAGGCATTTAGTAGCAGAAGTTGAAATCGTCCATAAAGCGCCGCGCTGTTTGTTGGCCTCCTACCTTAAACTTGAGCGTGTTGGAGATTTGGACCGCCACAGTACGAAGGCCGATCTTTCCGTAGCCGTACTTCTTCATGGTTTTCTTCACTGCCAATATCTGCTTCGACGTCAGGTTGCCCGCTTTCTCCAATGTAGATTTTCTCCCCGATACCTTCGCGCCCCCGGTCGTCGTGATTTGCTTTGGGGACACAGCTGCTCGGATGCTCGCACGACCGGGGGGCCCACGGCTGCTCGGATGCATGCTTCGGTGCTCCCATTGGGGGATAAGTAGCTGTGCGTGATGGGAACAAAGCTCACAGGGGGAACCAGCGCCGCCACCGCCTCCGCCACCGCCTCCGCCTCCGCCACCGCCTCCGCCACCAGCAGCCGCCGGCAGCACCGGTGGCAGTGGACACTTGGCTCTAGATGGTTGCGGCGCCGCTGGTGCTGACGACCCGCAGCCAACGCCCGCGCCGCAGCCGGCGCCTACTTCACCAGTGTCCCTGAGTTTCCCCACGGCCACTCTTGCCAGTGCGAGGTGGCGGGCGAATGCCAATTCATAAAGCGGCGGGGGATCCGCGACGGGCCAATCAATCATTGGCCCTGCGCGCTCTACCATGGGGGGCAACATGAAACCTCCCCCCCCAAAGCGAGCGACCTGAAGCACGCAGTTAACACGCTTACGGGGCCGCGCCCTTGAGCGGGGGGGGTGGGAACAGGGCCAAGTCCTCATGGGCCCCTATCCCTGATCATAAATAAACCTGACTTTAGGATATCCGCGCTGCAGCAGCGGCCGCTGCGTGCGCGGAACGGCGCGGCTCGCAGGAGGGGGCCTCAACTTGCCAAATCCATGTGCATATGTACATACATTTATTTATAATTTCATTGATTGTCCGATCGTTCCGACGGCGGTTGGTCGGGCGCCGATCGGCCGCGAATCTTGATGCACGGGGCCGGGAGGGAAAGGGGGGAACCATGAAGACCGCAAAGGCAGAGAATCGGAGCATTCGCGAATGGATCTGAGCAGCTTGGATTTCCTGGCCCCGCCGAGGATGCCACTCCGGAGCTGCCCGCCCTCTGAAGGGCCTCGCTGAAACCGCTGGCGCGTCCGCAGACAAGCCAGCACAAAAAGGTGGGAATGAGGAGTAGGAGGGAAAGGAAAGGAGAGGCGAGGACGGAGGTCGAGGACGAAAGGGAGGATGGGAGAGGAGAGGTCAGGTTGGTCCCAGGACGCGTTCTGGGCCAGCTTCCTGGGGGGAGAGGGAAGGTGCACTTTAGGTGCACTTTCGGTGCAGTTGCATTGAAGCTGTACGTGCACATGTGGTGCACTTTTGGTGCAGTTTATGTTCAATTTTGGTGCAGTTTGCATCGTGGATTGTAGGGATTGCGCAACAGTGTCACGGATCGCAGGTGCACTTTACCACGTGTCTGGGAAAAGTGCACCAAAAGTGCACCTAAAGTGCACCAAAAGTGCACGTACAGTTTCGGTGCAACTGCACCGTAACTGTACCAAAACTGTACCTCCATTGTCTGCCACGTTGTCTCTGCTTCTGTGCGTGTGTATGTGTGCGTGTGGTTGCTTCTGTGCGTGTGCGCGTGTGTCTGCCTCCAGTGTCTGCGACGTTGTCACTGCTTCTGTGCGTCTGCAGTTTGTTAGCGTGCTCAAGTGCTCTAGTGCGACAGTGCGTAAGCAGTGGGACACGGGCCGCTTGTTCTGCGGTGCGCACCAATCGGTGAGAGGCGAAAGTGGCGATGAAGACACCCGAAAGTGTCAGTGGTGTCGCTGGCCTGGCGGATTGCGTGAAAGGCCTCGAGCAGGGTTTTCGCATCGAGTGAGGGGGGTTGGAGGGAGGGGGACAAGGAGGGATGCGGAGGGACGAGGCTGAGGAGGCACCAGGGTCGCGCCTCACAAAAACAGACCTCGCAGGAGACGCTGCCGGCTGACGGCGAGGACGGGTCTGGGGCCGAAGGCGCGGCAACGGCGTTGAGGCGCCCAGCGGCAGCAAGCGCGGCAACGGCGTTGAGGCGCCCAGCAGCAGCTCCCGCCGCGCCCAACGACGGCGGCGGCTTCAAAGAAACGCCCGGCGGCAGCAGGAAAGGATGAGGATGAGGTCAGGGACCGCACGAAACAACGCAAGCTGGAATACACCTTCGATCAGTTGCCGCAGGTGTGCCAGGAGGCCATCCTTGACCTCAAAAAAAGGGGCTGGCAACAGGGGCAACTCGACGAAGATCATCAACGCCTTAGTCCACCGCACGCCGGATGGCAAACTCGTGGTGGAAACGGACGGGTGCGACGAGCTCTGGAAGCAGGCGCCGAGCATTCGCCCCTAAGCTGGTCAACCAAAACAGTCTAGGTCTCTGCATAAAAGAGAACATCAATATATACATATTTATACATATATATATATATATATATAGAGAGAGAGAGAAAGAGAGAGAGAGAGAGAGAGAGAGAGAGAGGGGGGGGGTAACCAATCTTCGAGGCTGCAGAACGCTGGCTCGACACAACCGTGCAATTTGTGCCGGTGCAACCTGACTGACGTCCCGTGGACGAATTTACAAAAAGATGCCGAATGGAAGAACCACATACGGTCGTCAACTGATTGGTTCGCTGCGAACCCTCACAGGTGCGATACATTCAATGTGATTGGCGTCGCTGTGCTGAGCGTCGAACAAGATTACCTCCACTGCTTTTATTCAGGGCCCCCAAAGCAAATCACGACGACCGTGGGCGCGAAGGTATCGGGGAGAAAATCTACATTGGAGAAAGCGGGTAACCTGACGTCGAAGCAGATATCGACAGTGAAGGAAACCATGAAGAAGTACGGCTACGGCGAGATCGGCCTTCGTACTGTGGCCGTCCAAATCTCCAAAACGCTCAAGTTTAAGGTAGGAGGCCAAAAAACAGCGCGGCGCTTTATGGACGAATTCAAGTTCTGCTACTGAATGCCTGGCGTTCTAATTAATACCCGCTGCTTGGGCACGATGCCCGTTGCTAGTTCTTCCCGTCTCGATCGAGACCCCCCTTATTAAACTGGAGCAAGAAGTCGAGGCACTTGTATTTTCGCAGAAGGAATAATCATACCATTGCGCCTCCTCCTCCTCCTACTCCTCCTCGCCCCCCCTCCCCCTCACCCCTACTGCTGCTGACCCTTCTGCTTTTGCAGCTGCCGCCATCTTCCCCCGCCCGCGGTTCCCTCCCGCCCTCCCCTCCCGCCTTCCCCTCTGACATACAATGCTGTTTTTTTTTTCGCGGCTGCATTTTTTCACACCGTTTTCGTTGGATGCAGTTTGTGCCAAACCGCGCGTCTGAACGATCCTATTTTGTTATCATCGCTGTTCGGGCCCTGGGGCCAGCGAAAAACGACTCGGTGCGGAAGGATATGCGAGAAAATCGCTGTTACCAGGTCTCTCTTTTCTGGTGGTTATGAGCCTCCTTCCGTGTCTGTCTGATCTCCCCTCTTGTCCTTGCATTATGGTTGTGGGACGTTTCTGCAAGTGTTTCGCGTTGTTTGGGGCACCGAAAGACTGCACCTCCATTGAAACAGCCTTCAAAACTGCAAGGCGAAGCACTTAAATTTGCACCGCGGGGCTGACCAAGGTGAAGCACTTATATTTGCACCGCTAAACCGGCCAACGATTTTGTTGAGGAGGAAAGGAGGCGGAGGCGAGGCGGAGGACGAGGGGAAGAGTGAAGCCAGATGGCGAAGGATACGAATGAACCCTACTGCGTATCATCCCCTGGCCTGCCAAGCTGATGTTGGACAGACCCGCAAGTGGGTTTGTCCAATGTTCTGCAACTGTTTCGAATGTTACCGCGTGCATTTACACGATCGCGCGAAAATTGTGAGTTCCATCTGTTTCTCATTTTGTTGTTCCTTTTCCGCATCCTCGTTTCGCCTCGCCTCGCCTCCCCCACCGTTGCTTTCCTCCCCCCTCTTCTCTCGCTCGTTTGCCCCTTCCCCTCCTCTCCCCCCGCCCCCCCTCTCCCCCCCTCTCCTCTCCCCCGCCTTTTCTCTCTCTCTCTCTCTCTCTCTCTCTCTCTCTCTCTCTCTCTCTATCTCTCTCTCTCTCTCTCTCTCTCTCTCTCTCTCTCTCTCTCTCTCTCTCTCTCTCTCTCTCTCTCTCTCTCTCTCTCTCTCTTCTCTCTCTCTCTCTCTCTCTCTCTCTCTCTCTCTCTCTCTCTCTCTCTCTCCCTCTCTCTCTCTCCTCTCTCTCTCTCTCTCTCTCTCTCTCTCTCTCTCTCTCTCTCTCTCTCTCTCTCTCTCTCTCTCTCTCTCTCTCTCTCTCTCTCTCTCTCTCTCTCTCTCTCTCTCTCTCTCTCTCTGTCTCTCTCTCTCTCTCTCTCTCTCTCTCTCTCTCTCTCTCTCTCTCTCTCTCTCTCTCTCTCTCTCTCCTCTCTCTCTCTCTCTCTCTCTCTCTCTCTCTCTCTCTCTCTCTCTCTCTCTCTCTCTCTCTCTCTCTCTCTCTCTCTCTCTCTCTCTCTCTCTCTCTCCCCTCTCTCTGTCAGTCCCTGGCCGGGCCGCCGCGGCCCCGCCTCCAGGCTCGTCTGGAGGAGGCGCACCGCGACGGGGATGGCGGGGGCGGCGCGGCCTCTGCCCTGCGCCACCCCGGGAGGGGGGGGAGGGGAGGGGAGGAGGAAAAATAAGTGAAACGGACCGACCTCAGTACCAGAGGGAACGAGGGAGGCAGAAGGAAAGGGGCCCACAGCAGCAGCAGGGGGAGGGAGGGGAGGGGGGAGGGCTGGAATGGGGAGAGGAGGGGGGGCGCAAGAGGAGAGGGAGGGAGAGGGGGACAAAACGGAAGAGCGAAAGCTCAGCAGCAGAAGCAACTGCAGGAACAAAAACAGGAGCAAACGCAACGGCAGCAGCGGCAACAGTGGCCGATGCATTTACAGCCCTGGCAGCGGGGGTAGCGGCAGAAACGGCGGCGGCGAAGGCAGGGGAAGAGACGACGGGAGCGGCGACGGCGGGAGCGACGGCGCTACCCTCTGCCTCCTCCTCCTCCTCCTCCTCCTCCTCCTCCTCCTCCTCCTCCCCCTCCTCCTCCTCCCCCTCCTCTTCCTCCTCCTCCTTTTCCTTCTCGCCGCAAGGAGGGAAAGCCAGGGCGACGGGGGAGAAAAGGGAAGCAACACAAGCAGGCATGCAGAACTATGATAGTTTCCTGGGCGGGGCTTGCCTCGCAGGTTTTTCGAGCCACCCGTCTGCCCATTGCACCACAGGAACGCTCTAGGGGAAACCATGCTTGCACACATATGCCGCAACGTGCACACAAGAGACGTTGTCTCTGGGTCTTCGCGCGGTCGTTTTGCGGTCATCTTTGCGACATCGGGGCCATCTATGGGGTCATCGGGTCATCTAGGGGTCGTCGTGGGATTGTCTGTGGGCCGTCCTCGGGTAGTCTCTGGGTCTGTTAGAGTCGTGGCGTGTGATCTTGGGATGGCATTGGGGTTGTCTTGAGGCCTTGCGGTCGGCATGGGGTCATATGTGGGGTCATTGGGTCGTCATGGGACCATCTCGGGATCGCTTCGAAAAGGCATGTTCGGGGCAATGTTTGGGCCATGGGGCCATCTTGGCGCCCAGGGCGGGGTCGAGTCGGAGACTCTTGGGTTCGAACTAAGCCCAGGGCTCTCCGCCGCCAGCCCCGCACATCCAGCCTATTGCATGTGTTGTCATTCCCTCGACCTGCTTTCCACTTCCTTTCGCAGTTATAAGAATATGGCTGGTCAGCATGACTGAACGGCCTTCCCCCCCCCCCCCCCCGCTTCAGCCGCGCGCGGCGCGTCGCATCGCGCGGGTCGCGGGGAGGTCGCGGGCGAGTCGCGGGTGTCTCGCGATTGTGCTCGGGGCAGGTCGCGGTCGAGTCGCGGGTGCGTCGCGGGGGCGGGTCGCAGACGGCGGGTCGCGGGCGGGCGGCGGGCGGGGCGCGGGGCGACGACGACAACAATGACAAAAACAGCGACAACTCGCATCGTGAACTTGTCATCCGCCTGCGCAGGAGCAGCGTGAGACCGCTCGGCCCCCCGCTATATAACTTAAGCAACAGTTTAAGCTTAAGCCTAAGCTTTAACATAAGCTTAAAACCAGTACGGTTCGAGGACGAAATGGACAAAACATTGCTTATTATGTTGCTTATTAGTTAAGTCAAAATCTCAAGCATTTTGGTTTAAATCTAGGATAGGCTTAAATTTAAGAGATTTGCTAAATATAAGGCTGATTTGAAACTTCAGGGGCTCCAGAGGCCCCAAAGAGGGTTCCAAGATGGGCTGAAGAGAGCGGCACAGCGGCGCGCATACCAACTCCAAGGCTTGGCTCGCGGCAGATATTCGCAGAGCACATTATCCCAAGCTTGCCAAGAGTTACCTCGGTAGACATCGAACCGCTCTTTACCAAACGCCTATGCACGACTGACGGTGTACAGAGGGCGCTTTGCGTTTTTTGTTGTTGTTGTTGTTTTGTGTGTTTTTTTGTGTTATATATAAAGATATGGCAGGAGTGGTGGTTGATGTTCAGCCTGAGCATGCCGTGCTCGCCCTGCCGCTCGACTTGCCAGCCGACTATGTGCGATCGAAGAGGAACGCAGGCTGGAAGTTCTACTCGCACGCCGTCAACATTAACAGACCTGGCGCCGTCCTCATCACGGGCGTGCTCGTCGCCTCCAAGGTACCAAGATGGTCGAAGTTGGCTCGAAACTGGCCCAAGACGGCCCAAGAAGCTTCCGAGAGGGCCCCCATGAAGGCCAGAAAGGAACAATGATTCGCCTCCGTTTTTTTTTTGCTTGAAAGATTTTGACATTCGTTTCTCCGCGGCCTTCCGGCGGCCCGAGATGGCCCAAGAGCCCCCGAATATCGCCCACGAGGCCTCCAAGATGGCCCCAGAACGGCCCAAGAGGCCCCCAAGACGGCCCCAAGAGGCCCCCAAGACTGCCCAGGAGGCTCTTAAGACGCCCAAGATGGCCTCCAAGACGGCCCGGGAGCATTCCAAGAGGGCCCCATGTCGGCCCAGAGAGAGGCCCCCCAAACGGCTTCCGACGGTGTCAGATGGGCCAGGGGCCCACCAAGACTGCCGAAGATGGGCTTGCGATGGCCCAAGACGGCCCAAGAGGCCTCCAAGAGGGCCTCCAGGAAGGCCCGAAAAGGACACAATCATTGATTTTCAATGACTTTGTGAAGGATTATGGCGCTTGTTTTTTTCCGGCCACCTGTCGATGCATCGCAGGGGTGTTTGGCGTACTGAACTATTTCGTTTTAGTTTTTTTCCCCAATGAGAACTCCTCCTGGGGCTTCGGCCCGCCCCGCCGGATTGCCAGGGCCCGGTTGCCAAGGATTTGTTTTTCCAGCTGGCCCCGACGCGGCCCGGGATGGCCTCCAAGATGCATCCAAGACTGCCAAGATGGCCTCCAAGACGGCTAAGATGGCTCCAAGAGGCCTCCAAGACGAGCCGTGATGCACCCAAGACGGCCTAAGATGGCATCAAGATGGCCCCAGAGGCCCCCAAGAGGCCTCCGACGCGGCCCAAGAGGCCCCCAAGAGGTCCTCCAGGAGGGCCCGAACAGGCCATGATTATCTTTGGATGCAGTTTTCCTCCGCGTCGAGCGGCCGAGCGAGAGGGTCTCCACCCCTTCCTTCTTTCTCCCTTGCTGGTCGCCCCTGCTGCTGCTCTCCCCTCTCGCGGCCATTCTGGTTTCAAGGCTTGCAAAGGCCTGCGCCGCTTCGCATGCCCGCTCCCCTCGCGGCTCTCGGGCCGTGGAGCGCGGCACTGGTCTCAGTCTGGGCCAGTCGGTGCCCCGCCTGCCCGGCCTGCCCTCCCTGCGGGTCCGTCAACGTCACCTGCGGCAATTGCCCGCCGGCGCCCGTCGTGGCTTGCCCGGCTGCGCTGGACGTGCGGCCCTGCCCCGAGCTGTCCTGCCCGATCCCTGTCCCGCCGTCGCTGGACTGGGTCTCGTGGCTGGTGCTGGGTTGGATCCTGGGCGTGATGTGCGCCGTGGCGGCGCTGGCTGCCTGCGCCCCCGTCGCGGCCATCCTGCACGGGTTCACCTCGCGGGCGGCGACTCGTCCGCCAGGCGACGGCGCTGCCGCCCCTGCCTCCTGGCCTAGGGCCATCCGAGGCTGATGGCTCGCGCGGGGGCCGAGACCCTCGACATCTCCGAGAGCCAGGTGTGCATCGCGTTCGACGACGACCCGAATTTCCGATGGCACCACAGGGTCTTATTGGTTCCCTCGCCTACGCCGGGGCACTGGGTCGCCGCCACGCCCGACGCCGAGATCTACCTCCTGAAGCTGGACGAGTACCTGGTGGTCGCCCTTCCTCGGGCGGCCGCTTTCCCCCAGCGTGTTCGAGGCCAGGTCTACGCGTTCGGAGCCCTCTCGGACGCCGACCTCTCCAACCTCCGTCGCGATGGCCGCAACTTCGCGAAGGTGCTGGGCTTCCCTCTCCCCGCGGTGCAAGCGGGGGTCGACGTCCCCAGGTGGATCGTCTCCGACCCTGCGAGCGACCACTTCGGGGAGGAGGTGAGCCTGGAGCTGATCACCTCGGCGGAGCGCTTCATCAGCCGCGACGCCGTCGCGCTGGTGATGTTGTCGGAGGCCGAGGGCTGGGTCGCTGCCGAGAACGTCCAGCCCGCCGACGAGCCCGACTGGAAGGCGGAGAAGAGGGCTGGTCCTGGCAGGGACCGCCGTGTGCTGCCGCAGACGGGCGTCTCAGCGCACACCGTCTCCCTGGCGCAGCTGGTGGCCCTGCTGAAGAGCGTGGAGGTCGACGACTGGCCCTTCGAGGGCCCCAAGGCCCTGGTCGAGTTTCTGGCGGCCGTGGTCTCCTCTGGGCACTCGCTCTCGTCCTACTGGGGCTTCTGGGTGGCCCAGTCGGGCGTCGCGCGTGGCAGTGCTGTGGCCCAGGAGCTGAAGAACATCGTCGAGGTCCTGCACCATGCCCTGGTCTTCGACTCGCTGGACGTCTCGAACCTCGCCTCGTTCGAGCTCCTGAGCCGCAGGGGCCTCCAGATCCAGAGGGCGGTCAAGCGGTGCCCTCGCCACCCCTCTTTCGAGGGCCTGGAGCCGATGGTCTCGAGTCGACTCGACGACTCGGGCGGGGCGGTCACCACCAAGTTCGACGCCTGGGTCGCCGACCAGCAGAAGGCGAGGAGCACCGTGCTCAAGCAGGAGAGGATGTACAGGGAGGAGGCCGACCACGAGGACAAGAAGTACCGCACCGAGCAGAGGGGCGAGGCAAGGCCCCCGCGCCCCAAGGCCAAGCCGAAGGGCAAGGCCGGGCCTGGGCCTGGCGGTGCAGGCTAGCGAGCCGGGGGCCTCCGCGCCCCCCCCGGCCGCGGCGGCCCCCGCCGCGGCCGACGGCACACCGCGTCGCCATGGCCTCCTCCCTGGACCGCGGCTGCCCCCCCGTCGAGGGCTCCTCCTCGCGGGGGCCACCCCCTTTGTTCCCGCTTCCGGCCACGGACGCCTTCTACTTGCATCCGCCACGTGGGGAACGTACCGCTTTGCCTCGGTATAAGGCGCAGCGTGCCGCCGCCGCTGATCGTCGTTCGGCCTGTGCCGTCGAGACGATCACGACCCTCAATGGGATGGCCGCCGCTTGTGCTGGGAGGGACGTCGTGCTTCGGCCCCCTCAGAGGACTGGGAGCGCCGACATCGCTCAAGAGTCGGCGCTCAGGCGCATCCGCCGTCGGATTGGTGCCTTCGGAGATCGGCCCGCTGACGTGGATGGCGCTGGAGCCCCACAGGAGCTCCTCAAGACCAGGGACGTCTACGGCGGCCTCGACGCGTCCACGACTGTGGTCGATTTTGATCCGAGCCGCCTCAACATCCTACGTAAGGAACATTTTTCAACGCCACTCGACGACGTGGCCCCCCAGAGCGTCAGGGATGCGATGGCCAACTTCGACTCGGCCGTCGTCCGCCCGCTCTCCGAGCTCACCGAGGACGAGCCGCTGGTGCAGCCCTACTGGGACCCTCAGCTTGACCCCCGCCGGCGCGGCACTCGCCCTGCGCTCGTGGCCTTTCTTCGTGCTCTGGCCCTTCGGGGGCTCGTGGGTGCTCGGGCCCGTCGGAAGTCGTGCATCTCCGCGTTCTTCGTGCGAAAAAAGAACGGGGATCAGAGGATGGTGCTGGACGCTCGGCAGGCTAATCAACTGCAGCGACTCCCGCCCAAGACCGCGCTGGCCTCGGGAGAGGCACTCGCGGCCATCAACCTCGTGGACGCCACCGACCTCGGCCCCGACGACCTCGACATCGTGATCAACGGGGGCGATCTGGTGGCCGGCTCGGTGGACCTGCAGGACGGCTTCTACCAGTTCCGCCACCCGGCCTGGGGCTCCTGGATGTGCTTCGACATCGAGGTGTCCGCTGGCGAGCTGGGGTTGACTCAGCTGTACGACGAGGACCTCGGCCGCTACGTCGATATCAGTCCAGACTCTCGGGCCTGGCCCTGTTTCGAGGCCCTTCCCATGGGTTGGTCCTGGGCCTTGTGGATCTGCCAGGAGGTCCTGATCGACACCATGAGTGCCGTCTTCGGGGAGAAGGACTCCTGGTGCCTGGACAAGGGCAAGCCGCCCTCCCTGCTGAACGGGGGGGTCGCCCACGCGCCCTACGTCGACAACGCGAACCTCATCTCCCTGGACGCGGCCCAGCTCGACCAGCGCCTCGGCGCCGTGACGGACGAGCTGGACAAGAGGGGGCTCCGCTGGCACGAGCTGCAGCATGCCACCTTGTCTCAGGGTATCCTCGGTCTCGAGTTCGACGGGCGTCACGGGCGCCTTCGCCACGCCTCTCGGCGAGCATGGCGCCTGTATCTTGGATTACACGAGGTTCTACGCAGGCCGTGGCTGGCCCGCTGGCAGGTCAGGAGGTTGTTGGGACACATCGTGCACTACTTCAGCATCATGCGACCTGCTCTCAGTGTACTGGGCGAGTGCTACGCCTACCTCGAGTCGGGTCCGATGGAGGGCGTCTCGCGTTTGCCGCCCAGCGTGGTGGCGGAGCTTCGCTGCGCCGCTGGCCTCGTTTTTCTTGGCCAGGTGGACCTGCGCCGACCCCCTGCGCCAGTGTCTTTCACCACGGACAGCTCAATGCTGGGCTACGCCGTCTGCGAGGCCGAGCTCTTGGGGCACGAGGTCCTGGGCGTGTCGCGGTGGCGCGAGAGGCAACGCTTCAAGGAGGTCGAGGTCTCGGGCGACCCCGACAGGGACGCCTACCTGGGCCGCGCTGCGGGGCTGGACGACGTCTCCGACCTGTACTACGACGAGCTCGGCGACGCAGGCGCGGGCCAGCCCCGCCGACAGGCGCGAGCCCGCCGCCGCCGGCAGGAGATGGAGGTGGGGCACCCCCCGCCCCCGCTGCCGCCCGAGCTGGTCGACCCGCAGCGGTGGGCCGAGGCCTTCCGCGGCGCCTGGCGCCATCCAGGTCGGATCCACAGCCTGGAGGCGCGGGCCTCGGTGATCGGTCTGGGGGCTGCCGCCCGGCAGGCCATATGCCACGGGACCGAGCTCCTGAGCCTCTCTGACAACCTCTCCAGCGTGCTGTCCTTCGAGAAGGGCCGGGCCAGCAACCGAGAGCTCCTCGCCCAATGTCGTCGTGCTGGCGCCCTGCAGCTGGGTGCCGAGATCACCTGGCGAGTGCGACACGTTCCAGGATGTGTGAACGTGGCCGACTGGGGGAGCCGGGCCGCCGACCGCCGCGAGCTCCTGCCTGGCTGGATCCGCGGTGCCGGCTTCAGGGCCTGCGGGCCGGCACCCAGCAGGTGCGCACCCGTCCTGAGGCCCAGCGGCGGCTTGCCCGGCCTCGGGCCTGACGTGCCCGGGCCCTGCCCCGTCGCCAGCGTCGCCTTCGCGACTCGGCCTACCTCGAGCCGCGTCTCCGAGCCGCCAGGGCTCGGGGAGAAACCTATTGGTTGCACTGGACAGTGGAGCGAGGACCTCGCACAAGGGATCATCCTCTCTACCACCCCAGCTGAGTCGGTGCTCCCATCCTGTCCTTCCCATCCTCCATCGTGCTCTACTTCGTCGACACAATTTACAGGTTATCGCTCACAGATCGGGTCATCAAGCTCTACGTCGGGTCACTGGCCTCATAGTGGGACTCCAACGGCATCGGCTCATCAGCGACCCCTGGTTGGGCCCCCGGCTCCCTCGGCTTCTTGGGCGTCGTGGGCCAGGCCATCGGCAGCAACGCCAAGTCAAGGTCCCCAAACTGGGTCATCAAGTTCTTCAGCGCCTCCTCGGGCTTGCAGCGGGCCTCGCAAGTGGTGCTCCTCGGGGTCTTCGTCTACGGCCCCGCGGGGCCACCGTACTGGGCGTACTAGCTCCCTGGAATTATTTGCCGGAGGCGCTAACCTATCGGGGGCCTTCCACGAGGCCGGTCTTCGTATCGCATGCCCTCTGGACATTACACACGGCAAGCATCACGACCTCACGCATCCTGGAGTCCGTAACGCTGTCTTGGCTTGGATTGCCCAGCGCCGTTTCTGGTGCATACATATCGGCCTTCCGTGTACCCACTGGGTGCCAGCCGGGGGCAGTCGCCCCCCTCGGCCGGCAGACCTCGCTCTTGTCAACTTCGCCGTGCGGGTGCTGAAGCTCTGCAGGAAACTCGACATTTTTGTCCTCCTCGAGAACCCTGACCCCAGCCGTGTGTGGCGCTGGCGTCCCCTGGAGAGGGAGTTCCGCTACCACAGGCCCGGCAGGATCAAGTGCGATTCCTGCCGCTTCGGGGCGCCCTTCAAGAAGCCGGGGGCGATCGCCGGCACCCTCCCCAACCTAGAGCTGCTGGGCCGCCGCTGTCAGTGCTGCCAGCCGCATCGCGAGGTTCTCCAGGGCAAAGTCCGACATCCGACGAGAGGTTGGGTTTGGCGGACTACCTTGGCCGGCGCGTACCTCCCAGAGTGGTGCCGAGAGCTCGTGCGCATCGCCTCCCTCTCCGCCCCGAGGTCCGCCTATGGCCGAGCCACGCCCAGAGACCTCGCGACTTGGGATGGGGTCCTGGCAGCCGCGTCGGGCGAGGTCCGCCTCCGCGCCCCAGGGCTCCCGCTCTGCCCGCAGAGGTTCAGGCTCCCCTGGCGAGCCGCCTGGGCCTCCGCGCTCGACCCGCGCCCCCGCCCCGCGGGCGGCGGGCGGGCCTCGCGGCGCCGCCCCGCCCCCAGGCGGAGGCCGGGCGCCGGGCCGCCGGGCACTGGCGGCGGAGCGCCGCAGGCGAGCAGCGGCAGCCGTGGACCGCGCCGAGCAGCAGCGGCAAGCCCGTCGAGTCCCTCCAGGGGATTTCCTACGCACGGCCTCGTTGCGGCCAGCGACCCTGACAAAGTATCAGCAGGCCGTCGCCGACTTCGAGGCCTGGGCACGACGCAGGCGTCTTCTCTTTGACGATCCCAAGTGCGCCGACACGACAATGAACCTGTACATCGAGCACCTCTTTTTCTCTGGTTCACCTCAGTACATGGCTCGCAATGCTCTCTACGGCCTTGCCCGACTACGTGGATGGGCAGTGGCCAAGCCTCAATTCGTGCGATCCAAGGACGCCCTGGCGGGATGGTGTGCCAAGCTGCCTCGGCATCCTAGGATGCCCGCCCCCTTCGACGCCGTGGTCGCCTGCATGGCGGCCCTCTCGGAGCGCTCGCCTCTGGGGGCCCTCGCCGCCGTGGCCATGCTCGTCCAGTTCGATCTGTACTTGCGGCCCAGTGAGGTGCTCTCCATCACGGCAGGCGACGTCCACGGGAGCGCAGGGGGCCAGGTCTCCGTCATCATCGCGCCTCTCACAGGCGGAGTGCCTTCCAAGACGAATGAGTTCGACCGCACCGTCGTTGCTGGCACGCCTGTCCCTCTCAGGCGTCAGGTGCCGGCTGCGCTGCTTGCCCTTCGTAGGGGCCGAGCAGACGCAGCCAAGCTTTTTGCTCCTTTGAATCTCAGTGCATACGAGAGGATTGTGCGAGGAGTGGCCTCCGACTTAGGCCTTTGCCACGTCTTCTCTGTGCCTCACCAGCTTCGGCACGGAGGCCCCTCGCATGATGCCTTGGAGCATTTGCGCAGCCTGGATCAGATCCAGCAGCGAGGAAGATGGCGCGCACGAGAGTCAGTGCGCATCTATGAAAAGCACGGCTCTCTCTTGCGTCAGCGTGCGGCCGCGCCCGCCGCCGTCCGCCGACGTGCTGCCCATTTCTCGGCGGCGGACCTGCGGCACCTCGTCTCTCGCGTGGCCTGTTCGAGTAAGGTGCCCAGCTAATCTTCTTCCTTTCTCTCTTTTTTCTTCCCAACCCGCCCACCCAATGACAAATGATTTGGGGGTGGGGGCCAATGCTACGCAGTCTTTTCTGGCAATTTGATCCGGGCCCGGGTCCTTTTCCCAATAGCTGCCACGCAAGCTCAGCATTATAGAATCTCAAGTGCACCTCGCCCTGTGAAAGGACGCGTCCTCAGCAAAAAGGATCGTCCGTCTCAGGTATGTCGAATGGTGGCCGCGCCTAGCTTGAGGAATGATTATCTTTGGATGCAGTTTTCCTCCGCGTCGAGCGGCCAAGCGAGAGGGTCTCCACCCCTTCCTTCTTTCTCCCTTGCTGGTCGCCCCTGCTGCTGCTCTCCCCTCTCGCGGCCATTCTGGTTTCAAGGCTTCCCTCCCTACCCACCCTGGGGAGCCAATGCTACGCAGTCTTTTCTGGCAATTTGATCCGGGCCCGGGTCCTTTTCCCAATAGCTGCCACGCAAGCTCAGCATTATAGAATCTCAAGTGCACCTCGTCCTGTGAAAGGACGCGTCCTCAGCAAAAAGGATCGTCCGTCTCAGGTACGTCGAATGGTGGCCGCGCCTAGCTTGAGGAAAAATTATTGATATGCCTTAGGTTTTGTAAGGATGTGGGCATCTGCGCCTTTTCGGCTTTCCGACGGCCGAAGACGCCCAAGAGGCCCCCGAGGTCGCCCCAAGATCGCCAAAGAGGCATCCAAAATGGCCCCACGACGACCCAAGAGGCCCCCAAGACGGCCTCAATGGGGGCCCCAAGACGGCCCAAGAGGCCCCCGAGACGCCCAAGATGGCCTCCAAGACGGCCAAGATGGCTTAATATGGCCTCCGATATGCTTCCAAGACGGGAAAGATGGCCTCCAAGACGGCTAAGATGGCCCCAAGACGCCTCCAAGACGGCCCAAGATGCACCCAAGACGGCCTTAGATGGGCCCAGGAGCCCCCCCAGAGGCGTCCAAGACGGCCCAAGAGGCCCCCAAAAGGTTCTCAAGGAGGGCCCGAAGAGGCCAAGATCATAGATTATCCGTCGGTTTTTGGAGGATTTCCGCATTCGCTTCTTCCCGGCTTTCCGACGACCCAAGACGGCCCGAGAGGCCACCGCAATCGCCCCCACAGCGCACAAGCGGCCTCGAATATGTCTTCAGGACTGCCCAAGAGGGCTCCCAAGACGGCCCCAAGAGGGCACGCAGACGACCCAAGAGGCCTCCACGACGCCCAAGATGGCCTCTAAGACGGCCCTGGCGCCCAAGAGGGCTCCAAGGCGGCCCAGAGAGGCGCCCCAAACGGCTTCCGACGGCGTCGGACGGGCCAGGGGCCCACCAAGATGGCCGAAGCTGGCTCGCAGCTGGCCCAAGACGGCCCAAGAGGCTTCCAAGAGGGCCCCCAGGAAGGCCAGAAAAGGACAGAAACAGTGAGTTCTCCAAGCTTTTCGAAGGATTTTGACAGTTGCTTCGTTTCGGCCTTCCGACGGCCCGATACGGCCCAAGAGCCCCACAAGATCACCCAAGGATCGCCCGAGAGGCCTCCAAGATGGCCGCAGAACGGCCCATGGGGCCCCCAAGACGGCCCCAAGAGGCCCCCAAGACTGCCCAGGAGGCTCTGAAGACGCCCAAGATGGCCTCCAAGACGGCCCGGGAGCATTCCAAGAGGGTCCCAAGTCGGCCCAGAGAGAGGCCCCCCAAACGGCTTCCGACGGTGTCAGATGGGCCAGGGGCCCACCAAGACTGCCGAAGATGGGCTTGCGATGGCCCAAGACGACCCAAGAGGCTTACAAGAGGGCCTCCAGGAAGGTCCAACAATGCCAGAATCATTGTTTCCCCATGAGCTTTTGAAGGATTTTGGCATTTGCTTGCGTTCTGCCTTCCAACGGCCCGAGACGGCTCAAGTGCCCCCGAAGATCGCCCAAGAGGCCCGAGACGGCCCCAGGGGGGCCCCAAGACGGCCGAAGAGGCTTCCAGGACGCTCAAGATGGCCTCCAAGACGGCCCAAGAGCCCTCCAAGACGTCCTCCAAGAAGGCTCGAAAGGGTCAGAATGGCCTCCAGGCGGCCAAGATGACCTTCAAGATGCCCGCGTGTTCCCCGAAGGCTTTCCAAACCGATTCGGGGACACGTGGTCCGATAGCTTGGCAGGTCTGGTCTCGACGTTCAGCCGCACAGGCGCTTCCACGAAGGCAGGGGGCGGCGGTGATTCGCCGCGGGCGTCTTCGATCCAGCTAGTGCGGATAGCGCAGGAAGGTCAATGCGGTGAAATGCATGGGCAGCTGCCGACGCGGCTTAGACCTGGAGGAGGGGCGCGAGCTGTGGCCGGCCAAGCATTGGATGCCCGTGCTTTCGGTCTGGAAGATGCGCATCCGCTCTCGGAGTCGCATGCGCTCGCCGTCGAGCTCCGCATCTTCGAGAACCAGGACATCTGGATTCAACGCGATGGCTCCCTGGCGACTACGTTCCAGCCAGAATGGAGCGACACTCATCAGGCCATGCGTCTTGCCGCGTCGTGGATACAGCGAATTCGGATATCGTGGACTTTGTTATATGACCGACGGTGCGCTGCGCTCAGGGCTTACCCCTTCTTCGACACGGCACGCATAGACTGGATCAAACAGCACCAAGTTCTCGTTCGGGTACCTGGCGCTGATGATAATAATGTGCTCGCTTCCATTGCGAAGAAGATTACTCTGCGCGCAGAATGTCTGGGATGACGGCTGCCTCCTGCGCAGCAGCGATTGCCGCAGTCGGCTGGGGACACTGAGTGAGTTGCATCACGTGCAGGGCGCCTGTTCAGCACGGCACCTCCATCGCTGACCCTGACATGATTTGGCCGAAGGACGACTGCCGAGAATTCGGTTTGGCCAAGCGGGGTCGAGAGGGCTACGTCCCCAACCCTACGGCGCAGAGCACAGGGGGAAAGTGGATGGGATATGATACCGACCGCGCGCAGGTACGAGCGGAGAACAGGTGGAAAGACACCGGCGACGAAGGCATCGGCGCTCGTAGAAATAATGCGCTGCAAGGAAAGACCGCGCTGCACCGCAACATCATGACGGTTTTTGCTTGGTTGTCAACGTCCCCAGATGACTAGCTACCCGAGCGGCAGGACCCCTACAAGCAGGGGAAGGCCAAGAAGCCGGCTCACAGGTGGATGCAATTCTAGAACGTGCATCTCAAGGCGCCTGCCACTGGTAAGAACGCCTTCGTTCCTCCGTGGACGCGGTGGCCGTGCGTCGGCAGGGGGATATTGAATGGGGGCGCCTGCGCGATTTTGGGATCTTTTCATTGGGGCTATGACCATCTGGAGGGCCGCCATCGCGAAGAGCTCAGCATGGGATGGCCCGCATGGCGCAGAACATCCTCGCGGAGTGCTGAAGTTGAGCCGCTCAATCAATTGAAACGTGCAATGGGAGAAGAAATGCATGATTACTGGCCACCGGTGGAATTTCTGAGAGCTCCGCGGCCACCAGTGCGCGAAGCGAGGGCCCGGGCACCACATGACTATGTCGGGGTAGGCGCCTCCTCTCGGGCGCAGTCTTCCACGGGGGAGAAGAGGCCGAACTCCACGAGGCCCGAGGGTCGCCCCGCGGCGGCAAGAATGTCGGACGACGCCAAGGGCAAGGGCAAGGCGACCGAGACTGACGGCAATGGAGCTAAGAGGCCAATCAGTCGCGCGCCAGACGATCGACAGGAATGAAGGCGACGCCGAGCTGAGAGCCCGACCCAGTGGGGCGCGTGCTCACGCGCGGGAGCAGCCCCTTCGAGCTCCGCCACGGCCGCGGGGCCGCCAGCTGCGAGAGACCGCCTGCCGGCTGGGCGCGCCCTGGCACGACGAGGCCGGCACTTCGCGCCACCGCGCGGACAATGCCCTTCCGAGGCGCGCGTGCGCCGATACCGACCAGCAGAATGCGGATCCCTCTCCCCCATGGCAAGCGAATGCCCAGATATGGCGGTCGTCTTGGAGTTGGAGCTTAGGCAACTGGCAAGGTGACGACAGCTGGGGCCGCGACGACTACAGTTGGGGTTGAGAGGAAGAGAACGGGGGGGGGCCTGCGGCTATGCCGCAGGTGCTTTCTCGAGGCGACCAATGGCGGTTCAAATGCGTCCAGGAGGGGCGAGGTGAGCCGTCTGGCACTGATGTGCTATGCGCTGAGTGTCCCAGAGCGCTGCGAGCCAGGAGTGCTGCGTGCCGGGCGCGGCGCGACGGGCCGCTTTATAAGCCAATTTGGGGCATTGAAAAATCGCTAATGTCCACCCGCGCGAGTGGAGATCGCTGGGGAGCCGTCGGGGGGAGTTGATTTAGTCAAACCCCTGCCATGCTTCAACCTCATGTGTTTAATCTTGCTGCAGCTATGCTCGCTGTGGTCGCAAAAAAAAGCGTCGGCCCGCCCGCCCGCGCGCCCGCCGGCCGGCCGGCCCTCTTCCGATCACCGTGGCCCAGCCATAACTGAACGGCATAACATAATACCGCGCCATGGCCACAAGGAGTACGTCACCGATGCATCGCTTGGATCTGAGTATGAAATTACGACCCGAAGAATATCATCACGAAGAACAGCTACACGCTTTGCCGTTTGATCGTGCTGCGAAAATTCCCCTCCTGACGGAGAGCTGGCAAAATATTCACGGCCTTATAGCCCCCGCCCTAGAACCCGATAGCTCTATATAGCCCTTTAGTGCTGTAGCCCTATACCCCATCGAACCCAATAGCCTTATAGCCCACAGCCCTATAGCCCTCTAGCCCTATAGCCCCATAGCCCTATAGCCCCATTGTTTTGTATGCCTATAACCCTATATCCCTATAGCCCCAGGGTCCTATTGCCCTACATCCTCACAGTAGCCCATAGTTCTATGGCCCTATAGTCCCATAGCACTATAGCCCAATAGCCCCACAACCCTGTAGCCCCAAAAAGGCTTTGACTGGGGTTTGTCCCTGATATCATTGGAGCCTTTTGTGGGTGATCCTCGGAGCCTTCGTAAGCTGAAATAGATGCCGCTTTGTCGGCTGGCGAGGCCGTCTTGGAGCTACTTAGGAACGGTCTTGGCACGTGTCAGCGGGAGCGGTTTTCCCAACAAATATTCCAGCGAATGGGTGCGAAAATTGCTCGTCAGAAGCATCACCAGGCACGCCTCCGTGCCGAAGGCGCGGTGGCGGATGTCCGCATCAAGCCCCGAGGATGGCATGGGCACATGTCGATGAGAGCCGCGGCCCTCACGTGCACCGCGCCGTCGTGTTCTGCAAGTGGGAGCAGCACCAACAATAAGCCGGAGTCTACGCGGGCGTACTCCAGCGTTTGGGGCAACAACAGGGTCGGGACAGGTCATGCCCGATCTGCGCTCGATTCGGTGCAGGCTTGGAGCTCCAGGTGGAACAACCACGGCCAATGGATGCAGTTGGACCTTGGGGTTTCAGTCACGGTCAGCGGCGTTGTGACTCAAGGTCGTGCGAATTGGAATCAGTGGGTGACCAGCTACCAGGTGGCCACTTCCACAGATGGCAGGTCCTGGCAAAACGTCGGCGGCACGTACACGGGCAACAGGGACCGTTCAACGAAGGTGAAGGGGATGTTCCCGTCCCCGCAGCTGGCGCGTTACATTCGCATCAAGCCACGAGGATGGCATGGGCACATCTCGATGCGAGCCGCTGCCCTCTCCTGCTTGGAGGGCCCTTGCTCTGCGAGCAAGAGTACCAGAACCAACAAGCCCGAGAATCAGCGGACGTACTCGAGTGTCTGGGGCAACCAGAGGGCGGGGACGGGTCACGCCCGGTCCGCACTCGATTCGGCGCAGGCGTGGAGCTCCAGGTACAACGCCGTGGGCCAGTGGATGCAGATGGACCTCGGGACAGCGGTAACAGTCAGCGGCGTTGTGACCCAAGGTCGTGCAAACTGGAATCAGTGGGTGACCAGCTACCAGGTGGCCAGTTCCTTGGATGGCAAGCACTGGAAAGACCTCGGCGGGACGTACACGGGCAACAGGGACCGCTCGACGAAGGTGAATGGAATGTTCCCGTCCCCGCAGTTGGCGCGCTACATCCGCATCAAGCCCCGCGGATGGCACGGGCACATGTCAATGAGAGCCGGTGTCCTCACCTGCGCGGGTAAGCCGGTCAAGGCAGCTGTCCGTGCGGCCGCTTCAGATAGTGCGGTCGCGTGTTCTGCGAGCAGTGGCATTTGGGCCAACCAGCCGGAGAACACGCGGACGTACTCCAGCGTCTGGGGCGACCAGAGGGCGGGGACGGGTCACGCCCGGTCCGCGCTCGATTCGGCGCAGGCGTGGAGCTCCAGGTACAATGCAGTGGGCCAGTGGATGCAGATGGACCTCGGGACAGCGGTGTCAGTCAGGGGTGTTGTAACTCAAGGTCGTGCGAACTGGAATCAGTGGGTGACCAGCTACCAGGTGGCCAGCTCCTTGGATGGCACGCACTGGCAGAGCATCGGCGGAACCTACACTGGCAACAGGGACCGCTCAACGAAGGTGAAGGGCATGTTTCCATCCTCTGTGTTGGCGCGCTACATTCGCATCAAGCCCCGAGGATGGCATGGGCACATGTCGATGAGAGCCGCGGTGATCACCTGCTCTGCGCCGTCGACGCCTTGTCACGCGTTGCAATTTGGAACTGGAGCAGCAGAGTACGAGCTCGCGATAAACATACCTAGCGCTGTTGCGGGCAAGTATGAAATCAGTGCGATGGCGATGGCTACATCTGATTATCGAAGACGCTTATGGGCGAACCACCGCCGCCCCCCGTCTTTTTGAAAACGCCTATGTGGCCACATGTTGGGCCAACGTCTGGCCTAGCTATTGGACTATGTGCTCCCGAGCCGTTATGAGAGGAGGAGGAGGAGGGATAGGAGGAGGAGGAGAGGGAGGAGACAGAGGAGGAGGAGGAGGAGGAGGAGGAGGAGGAGGAAGAAGAAGAAGAAGAAGATGAGGCCTCTTGGGAGCCTCTTGGAACCTCCTGGGGGCCTCTTGTGGGCCTGTAGGGGACCTCTTGGCCTTTGGTAGCCGTCTGGAGGACCTAATTGGGCCGTCTTGGAGCCCTCTTGGGGCCATCTTGGGGGCCTCCGGGGCCGTCTTGGGTGCCCTTTTGGCCAGTCTTGGGGCCCTCTCGGAGGCTTCTGGGGCCGCCTTGGGGCTATCTTGGAGGCCTCTGGGGCCGTCTCTGACTGTCGGAAGCCCGCAATGGCGAGAACACTAAACTCATTGAAAACACAACGAACATCAAAACGCAATGGCGAGTTGTTTGCCTCGCGAGGGCTTCCTGGAGATCCTCCTCGAGCAACTTGGAGCGCATCAGGGGCCCATTTGGCCGCCTTGAGGCCATCTTGGGCCCTCTTGGGTCCACCTCGGGCAGTCTTGGAGGCATCTTGGGAACATATTGGGCTCTCTTGGGGCCCTCGCGGGACGATCTTGGAGGCCGTACTGTGGGCCATCTTGGAGGCACGTTGGAGCCATCTTGGACGGAAAAGCTTGTGGGATATGCAGCTGCAGGGACCAGCCGAGACCCCATTGGGAACCTGTTGGAAAGGTTCAAACGGTAAGATCTGGCACACCTTCAGGCCTTCTTGCAGGCAACAGGGGGCGGCGGATCCAGCGACCTTGCGCCCATCCCGCCACCGTGCCTGCCTGGGTTGAAGGCAGGGGGCCTCTTAGAGGTCTCTTGGAAGGTCTCTTGGACGGCCTCTTGGGGTGTCCTGGAGGCCTTTGGGGGGCGTCTTGGGATCATCTGGGCGCCTCTCGGGGGCCTGCAGGCGGTCTAGGGGACCATCTTGGCTACAGGCCCTTTCGAGTTCCACCTGGGCCCGTCTCGGGGTCCTATTGGGCCCCTCTTGGAGACTTGGGTTCGTCATGCGGGGCGATTCTAGGGGCCTCTTTGGCCACTTCGGGCGCTTTCCAGACCGACAAGGCGAGCTTACGAAAATCACGCAGCAATCATATGTTGATCATTGATTTGGGCCTTTTCAGCCAGTTCCCAGGGCCTCCCAGATGGCCCAAGAGCAGGATGGCCCCTTGCAACCATTTTAGGACATGATGTCAGTTTGGATTCCGGAGCACGCTCCGAAGGCATCCGAAAAGTTAGGCGACGGGCCCCGAGAGAGCGCCTGGCGGCGCTTTGAAATTACCAGAATTCGGGAGTCTTGGTTCCTCAGTACCATTTTCAAATCTCAACACGCAGAGTTCGAAGGGACACGATGACACTCACACTTCGTGCCTGGGGGCACGGTCGCGGATAATGGTGACACCGGGGTTGCCATGCTGCACTCACGTTGGTGGTCTGGATCCAAAGTCATTGGAGTTACAGCGGGTGGCTTCCCCACGGTGAGAGGTGCGTGGCAGTATGTGTCTAGAACTTTCGACACGGGTTCCAATGTTCCGAGTCACCTTCGGTTGTACGTTGGATACCCTGAAGGGAACTCCCGTGGAAGCACAGCAATCACCAACTTGCAGATAACTACACCACATGGGTCGAAACTGTTGGGTGATGGTAGCTTCCTCGCAGGGAAGCACATGAGCACTTACATTCCAGGTCGCTCATACGGCACTCGCACAATTACCAAAGCCACGTGTCCCAGGGCGGTCTCGTGCTCTGCGAGCAGCGGCGTCTGGGCCAACCAGCCGGAGAACAAGCGGACGTATTCCAGCGTTTGGGGCAACCAGAGGGCGGGAACGGGTCACGCCCAGTCCGCGCTCGACTCGGTGCAGGCTTGGAGCTCCAGGTACAACGCCGTGGGCCAGTGGATGGAGATGGACCTCGGGACAGCAGTATCAGTCAGGGGCGTTGTGACCCAAGGTCGTGCAAACTGGAATCAGTGGGTAACCAGCTACCAGGTGGCCACCTCGCTGGATGGCACGTCGTGGCAGGACATCGGCGCCACGTTCACGGGCAACAGGGACCGCTCGACGAGGGTGCAGGGGAAGTTCCCGTCCTCGCAGTTGGCGCGCTTTGTCCGCATCAAGCCCCTGGCCTGGCACGGGCACATGTCGATGAGAGCTGGAGTCCTCACATGCGCTGCGCCTTCGAAGGCGGCGGCTAGGAGTGCCGCCTCGTGCTCTGCGAGCAGCGGCGTTTGGGTCAACCAGCCAGAGAACAAGCGGTCGTATTCCAGCGTCTGGGGCAACCAGAGGGCGGGAACGGGTCACGCCCGGTCCGCGCTCGACTCGGTGCAGGCTTGGAGCTCCAGGTACAACGCCGTGGGCCAGTGGATGGAGATGGACCTCGGGACAGCAGTATCAGTCAGGGCCATTGTGACGCAAGGTCGCGCAAATTGGAATCAGTGGGTGACCAGCTACCAGGTGGCCACTTCTGTGGATGGCAAGACGTGGACAGACATCGGCGCCACGTTCACGGGCAACAGGGACCGCCACACCAAGGTGAAGAGTCTGCTCCCGTCCTCTGTGTCAGCGCGCTATGTCCGCATCAAGCCTCTGGGCTGGCACGGGCACATGTCGATGAGAGCTGGAGTCCTCACATGCGCTGCGCCTTCGAAGGCGGCGGCTAGGAGTGCCGCCTCGTGCTCTGCGAGCAGCGGCGTTTGGGTCAACCAGCCAGAGAACAAGCGGTCGTATTCCAGCGTCTGGGGCAACCAGAGGGCGGGAACGGGTCACGCCCGGTCCGCGCTCGACTCGGTGCAGGCTTGGAGCTCCAGGTACAACGCCGTGGGCCAGTGGATGGAGATGGACCTCGGGACAGCAGTATCAGTCAGGGCCATTGTGACGCAAGGTCGCGCAAATTGGAATCAGTGGGTGACCAGCTACCAGGTGGCCACTTCTGTGGATGGCAAGACGTGGACAGACATCGGCGCCACGTTCACGGGCAACAGGGACCGCCACACCAAGGTGAAGAGTCTGCTCCCGTCCTCTGTGTCAGCGCGCTATGTCCGCATCAAGCCTCTGGGCTGGCACGGGCACATGTCGATGAGAGCTGGAGTCCTCACATGCGCTGCGCCTTCGAAGGCGGCGGCTAGGAGTGCCGCCTCGTGCTCTGCGAGCAGCGGCGTTTGGGTCAACCAGCCAGAGAACAAGCGGTCGTATTCCAGCGTCTGGGGCAACAACAGGGTTGGGACGGGTCACGCCCGGTCCGCGCTCGACTCGGTGCAGGCTTGGAGCTCCAGGTACAACGCCGTGGGCCAGTGGATGGAGATGGACCTCGGGACAGCAGTATCAGTCAGGGCCATTGTGACGCAAGGTCGCGCAAATTGGAATCAGTGGGTGACCAGCTACCAGGTGGCCACTTCTGCGGATGGCAAGACGTGGACAGACATCGGCGCCACGTTCACGGGCAACAGGGACCGCCACACCAAGGTGAAGAGTCTGCTCCCGTCCTCTGTGTCAGCGCGCTATGTCCGCATCAAGCCTCTGGGCTGGCACGGGCACATGTCGATGAGAGCTGGAGTCCTCACATGCGCTGCGCCTTCGAAGGCGGCGGCTAGGAGTGCCGCCTCGTGCTCTGCGAGCAGCGGCGTTTGGGTCAACCAGCCAGAGAACAAGCGGTCGTATTCCAGCGTCTGGGGCAACAATAGGGTTGGGACGGGTCACGCCCGGTCCGCGCTCGACTCGGTGCAGGCTTGGAGCTCCAGGTACAACGCCGTGGGCCAGTGGATGGAGATGGACCTCGGGACAGCAGTATCAGTCAGGGCCATTGTGACGCAAGGTCGCGCAAATCGGAATCAGTGGGTGAGGAATCAGTGGGTGACCAGCTACCAGGTGGCCACTTCTGTGGATGGCAAGTTGTGGCAAGACATCGGCGCCACGTTCACGGGCAACAAGGACCGCGACACGAAGGTGACCAGGATGCTCCCATCGTCTGTGTCGGCGCGCTACGTCCGTATCAAGCCCCTCAGCTGGTACAGGCACATGTCGATGAGAGCTGGAGTCCTCACCTGCGCGTCCCCGTTGAAGGCAGCTTCGGTTACTTGCTCTGCGAGCAGTGGCATTTGGGTCAACCAGCCAGAGAACAAGCGGTCGTATTCCAGCGTCTGGGGCAACAACAGGATTGGGACGGGGCACGCACGGTCCGCGCTCGATTCATGGCAGGCTTGGAGCTCCAGGTACAACACGATTGGCTCATGGATGCAGGTGGACCTCGGGGCGACAAAATCTGTCAGGGGCGTTGTGACTCAAGGTCGGTGGCGCCACTCTCAGTGGGTGACCAGCTACCAGGTGGCCGTGTCCACTGATGGCAAGTCGTGGGCAGACATCGGTGCCACGTTCGCAGGCAACAAGGACCGCGACACAAAGGTGAAGGGCATGTTCCCCTCCTCCGTGTCGGCGCGCTACGTCCGTATCAAGCCCCTCGGCTGGTACCGGCACATGTCGATGAGAGCTGGAGTCCTCATTTGCGCTGCGCCTTCGAAGGCGGCGGCTAGGAGTGCCGCCTCGTGCTCTGCGAGCAGCGGCGTTTGGGTCAACCAGCCAGAGAACAAGCGGTCGTATTCCAGCGTCTGGGGCAACAATAGGGTTGGGACGGGTCACGCCCGGTCCGCGCTCGACTCGGTGCAGGCTTGGAGCTCCAGGTACAACGCCGTGGGCCAGTGGATGGAGATGGACCTCGGGACAGCAGTATCAGTCAGGGCCATTGTGACGCAAGGTCGCGCAAATCGGAATCAGTGGGTGAGGAATCAGTGGGTGACCAGCTACCAGGTGGCCACTTCTGTGGATGGCAAGTTGTGGCAAGACATCGGCGCCACGTTCACGGGCAACAAGGACCGCGACACGAAGGTGACCAGGATGCTCCCATCGTCTGTGTCGGCGCGCTACGTCCGTATCAAGCCCCTCGGCTGGTACCGGCACATGTCGATGAGAGCTGGAGTCCTCATTTGCGCGGCCCCTTCGAAGGGTCCGAAGCTCTCGTGCGCAGGACAGATCACGGGCACCATAGACCCGCCAGAGAACAAGCGGTCGTATTCCAGCGTCTGGGGCAACAACAAGGTGGGGACCGGGTACGCGCGGTCCGCGCTCGACTCGGCTCAGGCGTGGAGCTCCAGGTACAACACCATGGGCCAGTGGATGCAGATGGACCTAGGAGCAGCGAAGACGGTCAGCGCCGTTGTGATTCAGGGTCGCTCAAATTGGAATCAGTGGGTGACCAGCTACCAGGTGGCCGTGTCCACTGATGGCAAGTCGTGGCAGGGCATCGGCGCCACCTTCATTGGTAACAAAGACCGCTCGACGAAGGTGAACGGGGTGTTTTCGTCCCCTCAGCTGGCGCGCTACGTCCGCATAACGCCACTGACTTGGTATGGGCACATGTCGATGAGGGCTGGCGTAACCACCTGTGCCCCGCCCTCCACGACCACGACCACGACCACGACGAGCACCACGACAACGTCGACCACGACCTCGACGAGCACCACAACATCGACCACGACCTCAACCACATCAACGACCACGACCACGACGAGCACCACCACGTCGACAACAACCACGTCAACGACGACGACCACGTCCACCACGACGACGACGACAACGACGACGACGACGACGACGACGACGACTACCACTTCGACGTCGACCACCACGACCACCACTTCGACGTCGACCACCACGACCACCACGACCACCACGTCGACGTCGACCACGACCACCAGCACGACCACGACCACCAGCACGACGAGGGCCGAGGCACCCACGCTGGGCGGGGCGGCCGCCCCGACCGTCACGACGACCACCACCACGACGACCAGCACCACGGTCGCGGGCGAGGTCGAGGGCCAGACCACCCCGTACCCTGCGGCAGCAAGCGCGCTGAAGCCGCCGACGAGCGAGGTGCGGACCGAGATGATCCAGAGCGCCGCGGCTGGAGCGACCCGGATGCAGGCCGCCGCGGCGCTTCCTCGCGCTTGGGGCCCAGGGCACAGGCTCAGACCCCATCGCGTTGTGGAGATATCACGACGGATGGCTTTTACCATTTTCTGCCTCTCGGTGCCCTTGCCAGGCCCCGGGGCCGTCATTAAACGACGCAGGATGAAAAACCGGTCCTGGGGATGGGCGCAGACCTGCAGTGAACAAAAATATGATGTCGGGGGTCTGGGGGGTGGTGGGGCGGGGCGTCAGAGGGGAGGGGGCCCCGATGCCGCTGCCCGTCCCTCGTCGCCACGGCTGGACTCGCCTCGACATCCTGGTTGCCAGGACGCACCACGGTAGAAGTCCGTGCAGCAGTGGCATGTCGTTATCAGGCCTGCCTGAGGCTTCCTCTGTTTTGTATTTTGAAGAGCGGGTGGGTTTGCGGTCTGCGCCGGCCGGCCTTGCGCGGGTTCCAAGCTATGCCAGGCACCACGGCGCCATACCAAGCGATGACATGCAATGCGAAACAATGCCCAGCAAAGCAAAGCAAAGCAACGCCAAGCATTGCCAAGCAATTTCGCTCAGGAAGCGTTTCCTTAATTGGGGTCGGGCCGGGTTCATTCCCTCGGAGCGTTTGTTCCCTACAACGTGGGCCCCCAGAAGTCTGGACCCTTTCCCTGGAGCCAGTGCTTCATCCCGAGTCGTTTTTGTTTCGCGGCCCTGGGTTCCCAGCGAGGGTCCCTGGAGGCAGAGAATTGTTTCAAAGTTCCTTCATCGTGGCTTCTTCACGGCGCGGGGAGGTCAGCAAGGCAAGGGGGAGGTCTGAATTTAGAAGAGATGGCAAGGAAGACTCAGGACACGCTGAGTAGATCTTCAGGATTTAAATCGTTCGGACATGCTAGCTGTGAGTATAGTTGGGGTGTCCACAGGAATCAGCAGGAATGGGTGGGACTTCAGTGGGATTCCTGCGACCCCCTTGGCAGTGTTCCCTAAAGGGGCCCTGAAGGGCCCTCCTGGGGCCCAAAAGAGGTACGAAAGATGCAAGTTTCTCCCATTCATCGCCCCCCAAGTAAGCAACGCCAGATCCATACGAATTCATTACGGGGAAGGGGGCGGGGCGGGGAGGGGCCGCCAGGTCGCCAACGCAGCTGGCCTCCGGGCGGGGGACGTGGTCCGCATCACCGGGCCAGGCGGCACCCCGCAGGAGACCGATGAGATCGCGTCCGTGCAGGCCCGGGCGGGGAAGCGTGATTGGGGCGTGCGCCGCAGCCCGTGCCCGCCCTCCCTGCCCTCCTCCCTGCTCCCGGCCCCTCCCTGGAGAGCGTTTCTGTTTTACCGGGGGGGGAGGGGGGGGGCTGGTAATTCATGTCACGTCTGGCGCCCGCGCCCCTTCGGAATGTCTAGGGACAACCAAAGCCAGCTCGGAGGTCAGCACGAATCGCGACGCTACCTGGGGGGACGGGGGAGGGGGGTGGCCAGGGCTGGTAATGGCCGCCGTCGCGAAAAATGAAGAAACGCTTCATTGCCTCATCAAACCAACGCGCCACTGGCCCCACGACGTGGGACTGAAGACAGCCGAGCAAGCTGGGAACGTCACACGAGACGTCGCCAAGAGCGCAGTCACCATTGGAGAGGGGATAAAAAGCAGGGAAGACAGCGGACGGCAAGCGGGAGGCAGCGCGGGGTCACAAAGCTGTATGGAAGACAGAGCGAGGGTGGCAACAACCGAAGACCCTCCTCGCTTTTCCCTTCGCAAGCCAAGCTAATCCCCCCCCCGCCTGTTTAATCCTTGGCGGTTTTTCCCCAAACAGCTTGCTCAACGGGGTGCTGTTGTGATAGAAGCTAACTCCGGCCGAGGGAAGTCGGAGCAGAGACATCCTCACAAAAATTTGATGGTCCGGGCCGTTTCGCTTGAGACATCCTCGCAACTCTCGTTTCTGAGTTGGCCAGGATTGGCCGTTTCGCCTGAGACATCCTCGACAAAATTGCGTTCCGGGACGCCGCGCGAGAGGTGGTCCGGGCCGTTTCGCTTGGGACATCCTCGAAACTCGGGGCCCCGAGGTGCCGTGCGAGAGGTGGTCCAGGCCGTTTCGCCTGAGACATCCTCAAAACTCTCAGCTCTGAGATGCCCTGCGCGAGGTGGTCCGGCCCGTTTCGCCCGAGACATCGTCGCAACTCTGGGGTCCGAGATGCCGCGCGCGAGGTGGTCCAGCCCGTCACGCTGGAGACATCCTCGCAACTCTGGGCTCCGAGATGCCCTGCGCGAGGCGGTCCGGCCCATCTCGCCTGAGACATCCTCGCAAGTCTGAGCTCTGAGATGCCGTGCGCAAGGTGGTCCGGCCTGTTTCGCACAAGACATTCTCGCAACTCTGAGCTCCCAGATGCCGCGCAAGAGGTGGTCCAGCCTGGGGGCCCAGAAGACCACATGTTACATATCCTCCCTGGGACCCTGGGAGCCCGCCTGAGACATCCTCGAACTTCTGAGCTCTGAGATGCCCTGCGCGAGGTGGTCCGGCCCGTCTCGCCTGAGACATCCTCGCAACTCTGAGCTCCGAGATGCCGCGCGCAAGGTGGTCCGGCCTGTTTCGCACAAGACATTCTCGCAACTCTGAGCTCTCAGATGCTGCGCAAGAGGTGGTCCAGCCTGGGGGCCCAGAAGACCACATGGCACACATCCCCCCTGGGACCCTGCGAGCCCCAGGAGGCCACAGAGAGCCCCAGGAGGCCGCAGGACGCCCAGGACAGGCACCAGGAGTCCCCAGGAGATTCCCAGGAGGCTCCCAGGAGGCTCCCAGGATGCCCCAGGAGGCCCCCTATGAGAACGTGTCGAGTTAATACACATCCGGTGTCGATTCGTTGATTTGTCCTGCTCTTGTGGCCCCCGCTCCATTTTGAGAGGCCCAAACGGCCACAGGTTGGATATCCCCCCGGGGAGCCCCAAGAGGCTTTAGGAAAGCCCAGGTGGAGTTCAGAAGGCCACAGGAGGCCCAGGAGGAAGCCCCAGGAGGTCCCCAGGAGGCCCCAGGAGGCACCAGGGGGCCCCTGCAACTCGGAGCTCTGAGACGCCGCGCTCGAAGTGGTCCGGCCCGTTTCGCCTGAGACTTCCTCGCAGCACGTTTCGCCCGAGACACCGGCCCGTCTCGCCTGAGACATCCTTGCAACTCTGAGCTCTGAGATGCTGCGCAAGAGGTGGTCCAGCCTGGGGGCCCAGAATCTGCCCAGAAGACCACATGTTACGCATCCCCCTGGGACCCTGGGAGCCCCAGGAGGAGCTTCAGGAAGCCGCGGGATGCCCAGGACATGCCCCAGGGGTCCGCAGGAGATTCCCGGGGGGCCCCAGGAGGCCCCCTATGAGAACGTGTCGAGTTAATACACATCCGGCGTCGGTTCGTTGATTTGTCCTGTTCTTGTTGCCCCCCACCATTTTGGGGGGCCCCGACGGCCGCATGTTAGATATCCCCCCCTGGGAGCCCCAAGAGGCTTCAGGAAGCCCCAGGTGGGGTCCAGGAGGCCACAGGAGGCCCAGGAGGAAGCCCCCGTTTCGCCTGAGACTTCCTCGCAGCACGTTTCGCCCGAGACATCGTCGCAACTCTGGGGTACGAGATGCCGCGCGCGAGGTGGTCCAGCCCGTTTCGCCTGAGACATCCTCGCAACTCTGGGCTCCGAGATGCCCAGCGCGAGGTGGTCCGGCCCATCTCGCCTGAGACATCCTCGCAACTCTGAGCTCTGAGATGTCGTGCGCAAGGTGGTCCGGCCCGTTTCGCATAAGACATTCTTGCAACTCTGAGCTCTCAGATGCTGCTCAAGAGGTGGTCCAGCCTGGGGGCCCAGAAGACCACATCTTGCGTATCCCCCCTGGGACCCTGGGAGCCCCGGGAGGCCCCAGAGAGCTTCAGGAGGCCGCGGGACGCCCGGGACGGGCCCCAGGGGTCCGCAGGAGATTTCCAGGAGGCTCCCAGGAGGCCCCAGAAAGCTCCCTAGTTATCAGAACGTGTCGAGTTAATACACATCCAGTGTCGGTTCGTTGATTTGTCCTGCTCTTGTGGCCCCCCACCATTTTGGGGGGCCCCGGCGGCCACATGTTAGATATCCCCCCCTGGGAGCCCTAAGAGGCTTCAGGAAGCCCGAGGTGGGGTCCAGGAGGCCACAGGAGGCCCATGAGGAAGCCCCAGGAGGTCCCCAGGAGGCCCCAGGAGGCCCCAGGAGGCCCCCGCAACTCGGAGCTCTGAGACGCCGCGCCCGAGGTGGCCCGGCCCGTTTCGCCTGAGACTTCCTCGCAGCACGTTTCGCCCGAGACATCGTCGCAACTCTGGAGTCCGAAATGCCGCGCGCGAGGTGGTCCAGCCCGTCACGCTGGAGACATCCTCGCAACTCTGGGCTCCGAGATGCCCTGCGCGAGGTGGTCCGGCCCATCTCGCCTGAGACATCCTCGCAAGTCTGAGCTCTGAGATGCCGTGCGCAAGGTGGTCCGGCCCGTTCCGCACACGACATTCTCGCAACTCTGAGCGCTCAGATGCTGCGCAAGAGGTGGTCCAGCCTGGGGGCCCAGAAGACCACATGTTACATATCCCCCTGGGACCCTGGTAGCCCCAGGAGGCCCCAGAGAGCTTCAGGAGGCCGCGGGACGCCCAGGACAGGCACCAGGGGTCTGCAGGAGATTCCCAGGAGGCTCCCAGGAGGCCCCAGGAGGCCCCCTATCAGAACGTGTCGAGTTAATACACATCCGGCGTCGGTTCGTTGATTTGTCCTGCTCTTGTGGCCCCCCACCATTTTGGGGGGCCCCGGCGGCCGCATGTTAGATATCCCCCCTGGGAGCCCCAAGAGGCTTCAGGAAGCCCGAGGTGGGGTCCAGGAGGCCACAGGAGGCCCATGAGGAAGCCCCAGGAGGTCCCCAGGAGGCCCCAGGAGGCCCCAGGAGGCCCCCGCAACTCGGAGCTCTGAGACGCCGCGCCCGAGGTGGCCCGGCCCGTTTCGCCTGAGACTTCCTCGCAGCACGTTTCGCCCGAGACATCGTCGCAACTCTGGGGTCCGAAATGCCGCGCGCGAGGTGGTCCAGCCCGTCACGCTGGAGACATCCTCGCAACTCTGGGCTCCGAGATGCCCTGCGCGAGGTGGTCCGGCCCATCTCGCCTGAGACATCCTCGCAAGTCTGAGCTCTGAGATGCCGTGCGCAAGGTGGTCCGGCCCGTTCCGCACACGACATTCTCGCAACTCTGAGCGCTCAGATGCTGCGCAAGAGGTGGTCCAGCCTGGGGGCCCAGAAGACCACATGTTACATATCCCCCTGGGACCCTGGTAGCCCCAGGAGGCCCCAGAGAGCTTCAGGAGGCCGCGGGACGCCCAGGACAGGCACCAGGGGTCTGCAGGAGATTCCCAGGAGGCTCCCAGGAGGCCCCAGGAGGCCCCCTATCAGAACGTGTCGAGTTAATACACATCCGGCGTCGGTTCGTTGATTTGTCCTGCTCTTGTGGCCCCCCACCATTTTGGGGGGCCCCGGCGGCCGCATGTTAGATATCCCCCCTGGGAGCCCCAAGAGGCTTCAGGAAGCCCGAGGTGGGGTCCAGGAGGCCACAGGAGGCCCATGAGGAAGCCCCAGGAGGTCCCCAGGAGGCCCCAGGAGGCCCCAGGAGGCCCCCGCAACTCGGAGCTCTGAGACGCCGCGCCCGAGGTGGCCCGGCCCGTTTCGCCTGAGACTTCCTCGCAGCACGTTTCGCCCGAGACATCGTCGCAACTCTGGGGTCCGAAATGCCGCGCGCGAGGTGGTCCAGCCCGTCACGCTGGAGATATCCTCGCAACTCTGGGCTCCGAGATGCCGTTCGGGATGAAGAGGAGGTGGAGGAGGAGGAGGAGGAGGAGGAGGAGGAGGAGGAGGAAGAGGAGTTGGAGGAGGCGGCATGTTTTAACATGCCATGCCAGCCCGCACTGGACGGGCACGCAATCGACCTTGGAAACCGCAGTGGGTCTAAAAGCCCTGCTTGTTGTTGCGGTCCAGGGGGCCCAGCGAGGGTCCCCAGAGGCCGAACATAGATATACAAAGCAACATAACAAAACGCAAAGTGGTTTTCTCGCGACGCGAGGATCTCAGGGTCTGGGTTGATGGGCAAGATTTTGCACCTTCCACGTTAACGGCTGTGAGCGCCCCCCACGCTCTAAATTTGATATTGGCGGTCAGTGACCCGATGTGTCGATCTGGCGACTGGGCGAGCTCCTGCACCACGCTGGTGATGCCAACCAACAAACCAACATTGAATCGCTGGGGGGACGTGTTGAAGTTCGCGCTGGCACGCTGGTCGCGCGGCTGGTGCAGCATTTTGCCCATCAACCGGCTCTCCTCTCGGCTATACGTGAGTGACCTTTCGCCGGAGTGACCTCTGGTGCGGGCACACTGGGGACTTTTGGTGTTGGCGCACTAGGGTTCCCAAATGGTTGAATGCGATGCGATAGCAGCGGCTTGCGCTCTCCGGTTCGGCCTTCCCTGTGGCTCGCGAAAGTGGCACACCAAAGGTCACTCTTGCCTAGGACCACTCTTACGTGTACAGTTAAGACGCTGAGTCGAGGACCGTTTTGGGTTCGGACGGGGCTCGCTGATTCTGAGGTCCCTCCATGGCTGTTCCTGCAGCCCTCCTCGTGAACGAAGGCGCTTTGGGGGCCGACAGGGCTTCGCTCCTTGCTGCAGCAGCTTGACTGCAGCCGATCCACGGGCCCCCGGGCACGATCTCCTCCGCACCGGGGGGAGCTCGCGTCTCTCTGCGCGCGCGGGCGCCTCCGCTCCTCGAGGCCGAGGCCGCCTCCCTCGTGGTGCGGGCCATGGGCTTGGTCGAGGCGGCTGGGCGGGGCGCTGCCGCGGTGCTGCTGAAGACGGCTCTGAAGAACTCGTACCCGGCGAACTCCAGCGTCGTCAAGTTCGCCGAGGTGGTCAGGGGCAACGATACGGGGGTGAGACAGGCATAGGGGGAGAGGGGATGCATCGACTCCCAATCGCCCATTGATCGCTGACAGGGGCCCGATAGCCCCAACCTGCCCAGGACCGTTCGGATTCACCATCGGGTACTTATCACCGAACGATCGGCGATGTATCGCCGAGTCCAGGTCGATGTTTCCCCCCTATGCCGATCCCGCCCTATCGTTGCCCCTCAGGCGGAGGACATGGCGCCAGCCGCAGGACGGAGGGCAGCGAATCCGTCGGGGACGACCGAGATCAGGAAGGAAGGAAATAGGCACAGGCACAAACAAGCGTCGATTTCCATGAGACTACACGCGAATGTGGGGGAACAGAGAGAGATCAGAAGATCCAACAAACATGTTGAAGTAGCGGGAATCATGGAATTAGTGTATATGTATGAGCGTCTCCCTGGGCCCATTTACGACATGGGTACGGAACGTATGGGTACGACGACCGACAGCAGCCCATGCCTATTTTGAACTGGACTCGCTGCCGGCGTCACCGCGGACGTTGCCCACCTCAATTCGGCGCAACGTCGCTTGCCCACCAGCGGCCGCTGCTGGTTTTGGAAAACGTGCGCTGTTGTTCCGTACCCATTTCGGGCGTCCAAAATGTCCTCGCCGTCTCCGTGGCGTCGGCTCAGGGCTGGCAGAGCCGAGCCAGAACTGGGAGGTGCTCCCTGTGGCGTGCTCGCGTCGTGCGTGCGAAGTTTTGCGCTCACGCGGGTTGCGGGGACGGGTTCCTCTTCAAGCGGTCCGCGGATCGTTTTTTCGCGTTTGGCCGCAGGGCAGGCGGAGCTTTGCACCCAATCAGGGAGGGGCCAGCCCATCCCAAAGCAATCACCTGGCGATTTGCCTTGATCCGGAATGTGTAGCAGCATGCAGTCACGCTTTGGAAGCCTCTCGGAGGGAAAGGCGGGATGCCACAAATCATTGATTTTGTGAAGGTTGTGCAAGGATTCGGGCTTCTCGGGGTGGTCCTTGGGAGGCTCCGTGGCCATTTGGAGCCGTTTCGGAACGGCCATGGCGCTTCGTGCGGGCAAGTGGGGCGATATCTTGAACCATATTGGCATACAGTCATATACATTTATAATGTACTGCGATCATGGAGGCCCTCTTGGGCTATCTGGGGCGATCACAGGGCCATCTTGGACGCTCTGACGATCCGCGACTGGGCCCGTCCGGAACTAGGGAGAGAGGGTAGGGGGAGGTCAAGCTGCCCTCCTGGATCGCAGGCCGTCTGGCTCACTCACTCCCACCCGCCCTCCTAACGCGTGAGTAGCACGCGAGTGTCTGCAGATCGCTTAGGAAAGCCACGCACGCCGTGCGCGTCACGGGTCCCAAGTCCACTAGACACCCTGGAGGCCCAAGCGTGCCAGGTGCGCCACATGCTCCACGTGCGCCAACAGTGCCACGTGCTCCAGCCCTCCTGAAGCGCCAGCTACGGGGAACCAATAGGGACCCCAGGTGCCTGGGGCCCTGGCCGCAAGGAGGTCAGGATCTTGAATCCCCCTGAAGCGAAGTGCCGAGCATTCTGTGAGAATGTCAGCTCCACCAGGGAGCGCAAAGCACCGGCACCTTTGGGCAAATTGTTACATTTTGAGAAGTCGTGAAACAGATGAGAGCTCAGAGAAATGAGGGCTCTTGGTCGTCCCTGAGCTTGGTTCCTGGGGAAGAAGATTCTGGGCAGGCTGCATCCTTGTCGCCATGGCTGGATTCGGGGATTCGTCGCTACTGGCTGCATTGTTTTCCGCCCGAGTCCGAGGCGGGGTATCAAGTGTCGGCGCTCGCTCCCGAGGGGGTAGTTGTGTTGTGCCTTCCCTGGCGGCCCGAGGGCCTGGCAAGGGGGGCGCCGTGTCGCAGGCTCCCGTGTGGGCCCGAAGGATCCCCTGAGGGCCCAAGCACACCTCGTGGTGCTCGGAGTTGGCGTCTGCGGACCGACGACGGTGCCCCAGGAGGGCGCTTGGCGAACGATGCTTCGTCTGCGGGCCGAGGGCTATTGGCTGGCGTCGCCAGCTTCATGGGCCCCTGCACGAGGCAACCCTGGCAACCAGCTGGTCCACTCGGCCAACCGCCGGTGCAGTGTGGACGAAAGGGCGCACAAGGCAACCCTGACAAGGCGGAGAGAGGGCGCATTCCGTCTCCACGCGCAGACGGGGACCAGGTTCTGTCCGTGGCCCCCTTCCCTTCCCAGGGTCCCTGCCCGAGGGCAAACCCACACAGGGCTCTGTCCGAGGACACCCCTTCCCAGGGTCCCTGCCCGAGGGCAAACCAACGCAGGGCTCTGTCCGAGGACACCCCTTCCCAGGGTCCCTGCCCGAGGGCAAACCCACGCAGGGCTCTGTCCGAGGACACCCCTTCCCAGGGTCCCTGCCCGAGGGCAAACCCACGCAGGGCTCTGTCCGAGGACACCCCTTCCCAGGGTCCCTGCCCGAGGGCAAACCCACTCAGGGCTCTGTCCGAGGACACCCCCTTCCCAGGGTCCCTGCCCGAGGGCAAACCCACGCAGGGCTCTGTCCGAGGACACCCCTTCCCAGGGTCCCTGCCCGAGGGCAAACCCACGCAGGGCTCTGTCCGAGGACACCCCTTCCCAGGGTCCCTGCCCGAGGGCAAACCCACGCAGGGCTCTGTCCGAGGACACCCCTTCCCAGGGTCCCTGCCCGAGGGCAAACCCACGCAGGGCTCTGTCCGAGGGCAGCCCCACAACCAGAGGCGGAGTACTCTGGAGTACTCCTGGTTGCTGGGCCGATCGGCCAGCATTCGCCCCCCTGCCCCGTAGGGCAGCTTGGGCTTGGCGGCGCGCCGCCTTGACCGCACAGAGGCCCTCGAGGTCCTCGTTTCGTGCGGGTCCCCGTAATTCACATCATCATTCATTCTCTCTCCTCGCTCCCCCCGCTCAAATTGGAAAATCGAAAAGTGATTGGTGTGAGGGGCGTGTTGGCTGGCGGGGCCTGCGCGGACCGTGGCCTTTGCGTGACGGGGGCGGCTTCGTGCGATGCCCTGGACGATTGGGTGGCCCACTGGACGGGCACGCTCATCTGCGACGATAACTGCGCTTCCCTGTTTCTTTGTTTTTCCTCCTCATCCTCCCCCCCTCCCTCCGTTCATCCGTGTCTTCACGTGTCCAGGAATCGTAACAGGGCATTCAAAACATGAATGCCCCGTGTGCATTATCGCGCGCGCGCGTGCTGTGCAGAGTGCGACGTGCGAGAAGGGGCATCCCAAAAGTGGGATGCTCATTATTGAAGCAGGGCAATGGGCACGCGCTGGGCCGCCCTTCGGGGAGGTGCGGATTCTTGGCCCCCCTCCCGTGCCATCGCCGTTCGTGGTCCCGTTGCCTTTTGGGCTCGAGGACTCTGCCACGCGGCCGGTTTTTCTGCGACGGCAGCCCAGGCGTTCACAGTACTCTCGCGGCCACACCCGCTCTCACGACGGATGGCGTTCACCGGCTCCGAGGTCCGCGCCGCGCTCGCCGGGCTTCCCGAGTGCGTTCGGGGTCGACTCGCTCGAGAAGCGTGCGGCCTGGGTCGACTACGTGATGTCTGTGGACGAGGAGCCGAAGAACAAACACGATTTGTTCTTCTACGCCAGCACGGCCCGCGTGCTCGCCGACGTGGCGGGGTCGGTGGAGCCGGCAGACATTTGCGACGCCCATATGCGCCAATTCATCATCTCGGGGATGGCGGTTAACACGAAACCCTTCCCCGACGAGAGCGAGGGCGTTCAGTGGAAGGCCTTCGTGGTCAAGCCGGCTCACGTCAACTTGGCGTTAAGGGTCCAATCAAAGGCCCAGCAGTCATCGGCCGCGAGCGCGCCGGGCCCGAGTAGCCAGGCAGACCAGACGGCGCAGGCCATCGCCAAGTGGGCGGAGGTCCAGAACGCAAAGGCCGAGAAGGAGGCCAAGCGCGGCACCTTGAGCTTCAACCTGGAGGCCAGGGTGACGGAGGTTGGGTTGCAGTGCATCCAGAAACTGTCGCCGGAGTTGCTCCTTACCGAGGAGTCTCTGTTGCGAATGGAGAACCTTGCCTCCGCCAAGGTCGCAAGAGACAAGAGCCGCAAGTGGGTCGGGTCCTCCGAGGGCGAGGATCTGATCGTCAACTTCCGGCCCGGCTTCTCCAAGACACCCAAGCTGGACTTGCTCTTCGGGTCTGGCTCACTGGACGACAAAGCGCGGGATGCCCGGGAGGCAAAGCGCGCCCGCACTGCAGAGGAGCGCACTGGCTTCCTGGGCTTCGCCAACTTCATGGGCCACCTGCACGACTGGGGCCTCAAGATGGTGCTGTCCAAGGTGATCACCCCGGTGCAGTTCTGGGCCTACGAGCTCCAGCTGGTCAAAATGTCAGAGGAGCAGGGTGGCGGCCGCGTCGTGTTCTACTACGACATGCTCCTGCGGCAGAAGCTCGCCCACGCGCTGGAGCTTGGCCAGAACGACCAGATCGAGGCGCTCCTCTGCAAGCTCGACAGGGATGTGTTGCAGGACGCCAAGCACCAGGTGTCGAAGCGCGCCGAGGAGGCCAGCCGGGTGACCGGGAAGCAGCCCGCCGCTGCTGGCGGCAACGCCGGGGCGCCCAAGGGTGACCAGAAGGGCGGCAAAGGCGGCGGCGTCAAGACCTCGCCGGCCCCGGTGTCGCCCAAGCTGCGGCGCTCCAGGAGCCCGGCGGCGAGCAGGAAACCGAAAGGCAAGGGCGCCGGGGGCAAGGGGCCCGAGCAGAAGTGGGAGCAGAATTGGGGCAAGAAGCAGGCCTAGAAGCAGCCCGAGCAGAAGTGGTCGAACTGGTGAGACGGCCCGGAGAGCGACCCGAGCGACGCGTCCTCCGACGCGGAGGGGTTCTCAGAGAGCCCTGCTGGTGCCCCCGGCGCCGCCTGCGGTTTCGCTGCGCTCCGCGATGCAGTGGACACGTGTTTACAGGACCCTTCCGGTTCCGGGTGCGAGGGCCCCCTGAGCCATTTAGATTGGGCGCTGCGCCTCCCGAGGTGCACCGGGGTGTTGGAGACCCCCGAGGCGTACAGGTCAGCGATTAATTGGCATTGCGCCGACCCTAGTGCAGTTTTGTCGTTCAGGACCCGCCAGCTGGCATTCTGGCGGCACCGCCAGCGCGTGACGGCTCCAGCGTGGCTGGCTCAATACGCGGGCCTGCCCGCCCACGCGCGGTCCATCCTGGGGCCGGAGAAGAATCTGGCGCTGCTTGCCGAAATGCTCGAGGCGGCCGGCTCGCCGGA